TTTTTTTTTTTTTTTTTTTTTGCGAATGTGCTCCATGGTGTGTATGTGTGTCTTCACAGCCATGCACGAGTCCTCGAAGAACGTGCAGGCGTGCCTGGCTGACATGTATGAGCCCGACTGGTATGGCAAGAATGAAGTGGATTCCATTGTGGAGGTCAGACATGTTGTTATTATTTTTCATGATTGAGATGTGTGCATTTATTTGGCTTCATTGGTCTACGTGTGATGTTTCGCTAATTCATCATTGTATGGATCACATCAAATTATGCAGCTGTTCCTAATGTTGTCACTTGGAAGTATTTAATATGATATTTGGCTATCTATCCGACCATGTTTTTGTTTGATTACATTGCTAGCACTATGCTTCCTATTACACAACAAATGGAACCTTAAAGAAAGAGTTTCCGGTGTTAAAACTGCTAATAAATGTAGCCTAACTTCACTATCCCTCCCCCTCTTGATGTCGTTGAGACATACACTGTAAACAATCCAATTTTACACTCTAAAAACAGTTGGATTATTTCATTAACTCCATTTTTGGACTGTTTGTGTTGGGTCAAAATTCTGGGTCGAAATGGAATACAGTATCCCAATTTTTTTGCAGTGTTTTTGGCTCCAATTAACCCAGGTGTGGGTTGGTCCTTTTTAACACAGTTAAACCACTGTAGTTATTTCTGACCCAAGGCTACTATGTTGGTAGCATGATTTATTTAGTGTCATTATGACACAAAACTTTTTTGACATTTTACTTTCTGGAATGTACAATCAATTAAAAGTCAAAAAGAGGTGATACTCTTAATACACAAGCAGAAATGTTGGTCATTCCGGGTTGCTTCTGAATCCTCTCAGCTGCCTGAGGTCCCTGAGGCAACTCAGATGTTCACCGTTTTTTTTTTTGTCTTGGGTTCCATCCAATTCTTGGTTTTACTGGTTCTTTCGCTCTGCTTCTGTTTGCTAGTCTTATGCCCAGATGTATGCAAATGAGAGATGGGATTTTTTTTTTCTTTCTGAGGGAGATCTTCTCCCGGAGTTTCAGCAGATGACAAGAAGTGACTGTTTTGAAAACTTCAAGCTTCCCTTTAACACATTTCTTTCCAAGCCCCGCTCAGTATTTTCTCTGACATTCCGATGTGCATCCACCTTCAAGGATTGCGATGTGCTGTGGACTGACTACCATCAAAAGTTGGTTGATCATGCGCTCATATCCATGGATACCTATTTGGGACAGTTTCCTGATATTAAGGTGGGGCGCCATGGTAACATAGACCTCTTAATATGAATGGCGGAAAGACTTACCTTAATTTCCATTTTTGCTCAGGCTCGTATTGCCAAGCGGGACAGAAAGTTGGTGGATTACGACAGCGCCAGACACAACTATGCCACCACGCATAAGACCAAGAAAAAGGATGGCGGTATTAAAATCACAAAGGTATATTGCAAATACACACAGCAGCGCTGGAAACTACAGTCAAGTTTCTATTTAAGATGAGGAGAACATAACTGATGTGCATGATGTGCAACATGTGCGTGTCTCCCCTTTAGCCATCCTCTTTGTTGGAGAGGGCAACGCCCGGCTGGGCTCAAGGGATTCTGTCCGCACACAATGTTGCCCAGAGTAGCTTGTCCAGAAGCCAGGTACACCACACTCTTAATGATGGTCACTTAGATATCTTTCATGAGGCATGTCAACCTGTTTATTGTTTCTGTCATATAGCAAGGAGACAGGGACAAAAAAAAAAAAAGCAATTCACCCATCTGAATAAATGCCCATGCGTTCAACGACACCATTTGGTTTTTCAGGCAGAGGAGGAGTTGGAGAGAGCCCAGAAGGTGTTTGAGGAGATCAATATTGACTTACAGGAGGAATTACCTTCACTCTGGAACAGGTGAACTTTTTTTGTGCAGAATTGCGGGAACAGTTGTCATTTTATTTCCTCATATATTTCAGGCAATCATAAAATAAGGTGACCAGATTTTGATTTTGATTTAACAAAGAAAAAAAAATGTCATTTCAGCCTTTAGTTTTCTTCCTCATAATTATTTTCTTTGTTCCCGGGTCGAACAAGGAACACAGTCAATTTTGCAGCTATTTGAGTGTTTTAAGCTTTGCTGACCGGTACCTTAAATAGACACTGAAACATTTACGTGCGGGCTTTGCACACAGTTACCTTTTCCTTGTGTCATCACTCATCACTGTCCTCAGCTCCAAACTGTGTACAAACGTGGACATGTGGGGGCGAAATAGGACGTCTGATCATCATAAACTAGCACCTCCATTACAAATGAAAAAAGATGAAACAAATATTCTCTCATCAAATAATCAAAAAGATGAACATATAGTTGTATTGCTGGAGGATGAAAATACAATTCATTTTGCTTGACCAACTTGACACCCCAGTTCATGTTTGGTATTTTGTGTGTGTGTGTGTGTGTGTGTGTGTGTGTGTGTGTGTGTGTGTGTGTGTGTGTGTGTGAAAAAAAATGTGGTTGTGTGTTTGTGTTTGTGTGTGTCCATAATATAAAGATGATGAGGGAACATCTATGAACGGATTGAATTAGTTTTAGTAACTGTTGGTGAACGTTATTAAATCAGCATGAGACTTGATTTTCCGTTTTGCTGTCTTTGTGCTTTCTACTGTCTTTGTTATTAATTTATTGTTTTATTGTTTGTTGTTGTATGAATTATTTTTGAACCATAGAGAGCACTTGGTCCACAGCGGTGGTTGTTTTAAAGTGCTCTATAAATACAGTTGAGTTGAGTATGCTAGGAATGGACTTGCACTGAACAAAATGAAAAAGAGTGAATATATGTCTCTTTCTGTACCTTTTTGCAGTCGTGTTGGTTTCTATGTCAGCACCTTCCAGAGTTTGGCTGGTTTTGAGGAAAAGTTTCACAAAGAAATTAGCCGGGTGAGTGTGATACAACATTTGTTGGAAACAAGAGAAACAAGAGAAAGCATCAGAAGAGTATTGGGACACATCACTTGATCACATATTGAATTATTATGAGATGCACTAGCGTCCTTAGTCACCCACCACCCACCCCCAAACGTTAATTCTTCCTCTTAACAATTTTCCCATTGCAACTTTGTGAAGATAATTTGTGAAAGCAAAATCCATATAAGGCACGTTTGAGGGTGTTTGGTGTCGAAGAAATTGTGAGCACTTACCTCACCCCCATCGAAACACATTTTCCTAACCTCACAAATGTTCTTGATTAAAAATTAATTAATAAATAAATCTTTCAAATACTTA